CATCCTTCCATTTATCCTGCCATCGCTCCTTCATTTTATTCCATATATTATTCACAAGTTCATCCATCCATCCATCCATCCATCTATCCATCCATCCTATTCCTTCATGTGTATCATCCATCCATTTATTTTCCCTTTTCCTAGCTGTATCCCCTCTTCACTAATTTTTAAATGTTTCCCTTATATCAGCATTCATCCTCCATCCATTATTTTCCCTTTTTCTAGCTGTATCCTTTATCCATCCTTCCATCTATCCTGCCGTCACTTCTTTATTCTTTGTGTATTATCCACACATCCACCATCCATCCATCCATCCATCCATCCATCTATCTGTCTATCCATTTTCCCTTTTCTTATCTAAATCCCTTCTTATCTGCATCCATCCTTTCATCCATTCGTCCATTTAAACTGTCATTACTCATTTATTCATTCCATGTATTATCCACATTTTCATCCATCCATCCATCCATCCATCCATTCTTTCGTCCATTGTCTGTTTTCCCCTTATTTTCCAGCTGTATCCCTTTTTTATTTCATTTTTAAAATGTTCCCATCCATCTTTCTATCCATCCATCCATCCTGTAATATTCATCCATCCTTCCATCATGTAATATTCATTCATTCTTCCATCCATATGTCTTTCCATACTTTCTTCTATACTCCCTCTAGTCCTTCTTACTTTCTAAATGCAGTGCATTTCAAGGTAAATTTAAACTACATATACCCAAACTGAGATTTGGGACACACTGAATCGTGCAGGCTGATGATTCATAAAGTAATGAGATGTTTCACTGATGGTCTCACACCAGAAATCTCACACATGTCAGTCATTGGTTAGTCTATTGTGCATTCAAGGTCGAGGTTGCAGTCTCAAACATTCAATCTAATAACCAAACGGGCTAAAATTGAATTAAATAAGGAATGAAAAAGTTGTGTCAAATGAGTTTGAGAAACGGTATTTGTAAAAACCATGCAAACAAATATAAAAGGTGGTCTATGGTATTCTATATTATGTTTGTATGTTTTTATTAAGTTTGGAGTGGAATATGACCTATGAATCATATTGGCTTATTAATTGATATGCAGCTGTGTGAATTTCAAAACCCTGTATTTTTAAAATATATATTTATATGTATGTATGCAATTATATAATGTATGTATGTATGTACATATATATAAGAATAGGAAACCTTAATACTATAAAAGTTTGCAATGTAATCCCAATGGTTATAGTCACTGAATTTTGGAATGAAGTTTGGAATGTGACCTCTAAAAAGTTAGGAGGAGAGAGTTTGCTGTCATCATTGAAATGTTCACTCTGGATTAAATTTAAAAATTAATTGCATAAAACAGATTTCATTTACAATGGAGTTTGAAGCAGAAAGACTAAGATACTTTTTTGTTGTGAAACAAAGAACACTAGAATCTTTTACTCTGCACAAACTGTTTCAGAAATATGGTAAAAGTTCTGTAATTTCTATTACCCAGTAAAAATGGTAGAAAAGTTATCTATTAAAATGTTACTTTATATATCTTGCAGCTCTTCTGTTGATTACCAATTTGTCCTAACTATGGCACCAATGATTTATACCAATTAATGGCAAGTGACAACAACTACTGACAGATTTCAACCACTATAGCTGAGCATATTTCATTGGCTTTAATAGTATCCACGATTCTCTGAATCAGACTAAAAAAAGTAGCTCTGATGGAGTTAAAGGTGCTGTTCTCTGATGCCTGATCTGCTTCTGCTGCTCTCTGCGCTGTTCAGGCCTCCTGCCATAAATCTGATCAAACGGCAAATGTTTCCGGCAGGATAAATGGCTGCCTCTCACAGGGGAGCCAAGATTGATAGTCAAAGTTAAATTGTATTAGCTGTGCAGTTTAAATATTTAACCCAGTCTTATCATAACTGCTCTTAACACTTAAAGTAAAATACAGCAGGGACGTCTTGAAAGGGATCTGTGGACATATATCTTTCACCACCTCCACGCTCTTGCGGTGCTATTGTCCAATAATACTTAAATGGCTTGACTTATTATGAATGGACATTATAATTATATAATATATTTATATATATAATTATATATATTTTTTAGTTTAAGTGTTTTCATGAAACTATAGGTTTATTTCACAACTATAGGTTTGTGAACTGCATTGCTGTTAACACAAGGGTCAAATCACATTATTATTTTTAAATGAGTCTGTTAATGTACATTTTTATCAGTCTGTCAATATAATGCTTACAGACATAAAGCATTATTTTCATTGACGAATATTGATTTCTATACATTTTAAAGAACATGAAGTATAAAACATCAAGGTAATAAACTTTCATCACACTGTAATAAAGTACACAGTACACATAAAGCCACATACTGTATGCACTGTGAAGTCAAAAAGTGACAGTCATATATTAATAGGAAAATTAATTGCCTACATCATTATTTTGTGTGAGTACAAAACATGACTTGCTCCTGAAATGTTCCGGAGTCTTGCGCATTACTGCTATTTTTGACCGAAATAATATTACATCAGCCATAGATTTATTCTAGGCAATGCTTAAAACTAAATCCCCATTTATTTAAGGTTGTGTGTGTGTGTGTGTGTGTGTGTTTTTTGTTTTGTTTTGTTTGTTTAGCAGGCAGCTTCACAGCCTTCACACTTTTTTAATGTTGCCATGTCCACTTATTCTATTGGAATAGTGCTTCAGAAGTGCTTTAATTTTTTTGTAAAAGCGCAAAATCGTACTGCTTCAACATATACAGTATATTTGAATTTTTCATACTATTTATATTTATAGGGACATTTTGAGGAATAAAGGATTGTTTTCTTGCAGTTCTTTAGTACCAAATAAAATCACAAAATAAGTGATATTTAAAATGACTATTTCTATGATTTCTAATTGAATACATTTTACTCACCTATCTATTTCTAAATGGACAAATTTTCAGTTTGCTTAGTACATCACTTTGTTTATTGAATTTATACAAAATTTATGAAGATCAAGTCCATGAAAGGTTCTACAAAAGCGATAAAAGCAATGCAAAATCAAGGTAAAACTATGTGAATGCAGTGCACTGATCTCTTATTTGTTTTGATGTACACCATTGGTTTGGTTCAGGGAAGGGTTAAGAAAGTCTGTAGTCTAGGTCAGTGGTAACCAAAGTGGGGTTTGGGATCCCCTGGGGGGTCGCAGGACAATGATAGTAGGTTGCTTAGTGATTTCCAAAAGTTATATAAATTTTATTAAACTATCAGAATTACTGTAGTGTAGCCATAACCCACAGAGGATAAAATTAGTAGTTTTTAATAATAAAACAACAACATGCAAGTAAAAAGCCATTAGCCTTTAAATTGTTTTCATAGGATCAGTGGGTTAATGTTAGATTAACAACACAGCAATACCGTCAGCTGCAGCAGATTGATTTTATAACAACAGGTTAAACTTTCTGACACCTTTATGGCAATCAAATGCATTAAAAATAAATACAGGCCACAGCTGAATATTGAGAATGATCTCTGATTAGCGGTCTCCAAAATTAAACCAAGAATAGAGTTGTGCTTAAAACATTGTGTCCACCAGTCTCTTTAGTTGAGGATAATATTAAATTAAACAAATTAATAAATGACCATAAAAATTATATGGTTGTCAGACTGTTGCACTTTTTTAACTTTTCAAAGTAGTTCAAACATCACATGCATCTTTTGAGGAAAAGTTTAGTATTTTGTCTTATATAATTGATTTATTTTAATTAGCTAACGGATTAAAATATTTGTAATGATTGTATCGTTTGACTACTTTCATTAAATGTAAAAATTCCTGGAAAAACAATATTAAAAAAAATAGTGGGCACTTTAATTATTGCCATTTAACAGTACGTGTAACGATACCGCTGATGCTGCTGCCTTTTTCCTCTTGTTTGTCTAAATGAGAGGAGAAGCTCGTTTATGATTATAATTAGCCGATTAGCGTGGTAGCGTGTCACGACGACTCTAAGCAAACACAGCTGTACAGCGCTTGTGTCAGAGCGGCAGATGGGACAGGAAAAGCATGGAAGTAGCATTTTTGAGCTGAGTAGTGTGGCGTTTGCCCTTGGACAGTGCTCTCTCACCTGAAGGTAAATGTTTATGACGGAATCATCATTAAAACTCAGACATTTAATAGGTCCAATTAAAACAATGACTTCATTTACAACGGAATGAGAGCCGGCCCTATTTATTGGGAGCTGCAGTAATTGAGTTCTAGGCACTTGAGCTGTTAACTCTCTCCTGTCTCCTAAGGGCCACTTCGGTTTAAAGCTTTCCGGAAGTTTCTAAACACTAGAGGGCGAGTTTTTATTTTTTTTTTTGAGTCTCAAAGTGAAATCAGGTCTAATCACTATTATTTGTGTTAAATCTGAGAATATAATTTCTGCGTTGACAGTTCTCAACTTAAGAGTTACTGTTAAACTCTGAGAGGGAATAAAAATGTACTCGCTACTCTTCTTCCCCCCTCACCAGTGTCGGTTTTAAAGGATTTATGGGTTAAAAAATGAGCCGTTCTCCGTAAGCTTCTCTCTCCACATGATGGGATCAATGTCGTTAGTCGTGAGATGACAAAGTGGTTGAACATCTCTTGGCGGGCCGGGCTCAGATTGCCACAGGGGCCGTCAAGCGATCGATATGGACAGAGGCGAGCGATTGACTGACGCCGCCCTTTTCCTGGCACGGGCAAAGCATCGAGGGAAAAAAAGAAATGGACTAGGGAGGGAAAATGTTGAAATAATGGGCCTTGGAGGCTTTGAGAGCGAGGCGAGTGGAGGAGAGTGATGGGTGAATTAGGGGTGGTCTGGGTTAGTGATTCCATACACGCTCTCATGAGGGGTAATGAAGTGGACCACTTTAACCGTCTTACTACACAACTGACGTTGTTTTTTTTTTTTCTGCACGCTTACTGTTGGTGTTTTTTCAGGGCGTATAAACTTCCCCCTGATCTTTTCCATTCTTTATGATTGCAGTGGCTCAGAAAGTAGTTGCCATCCGGAAGAAGCAGCAGCTGTCAATCGGACCCTGTAAGTCCCTGCCCAATTCTCCAAGCCACTCCTCCGTCTGCGCAGCGCCAGTGTCTGCAGTGCATATCAGCCAGGTGAGTTTCCACACACTTTATCTAGATATTGTGTTGGGGTTGAGTCATTTATTTAGGCTTATCAATTGAAAGTTACACAGAGAAGTACTGTGAAATAGTCTAAAGTCTGTAAAAATTGAATTTAATATTTTACTCTAAATTGAAGAAAGAAATATCTTTAAATTGAAGAAAGAAATATCTTTCACTTTCAAAGTATGCATTTAGTTGCAAATTTTTGCATAAGATTTTGCTTAAATAAACAAGTAAGCTTTATTTTTAAATTATTTATTGAGAAAAACTCCACCAAACCATAGTAATCATGTGCAGAAAAGTGGAACAATAAACACCCCCTCACAAATAGTAAGGGCGCGTGTAAACTTAAGTGGTTCCCCAAAGCTAAGAACTTGTTTTTTTTCCATTGTTGTCAATGTGATATTCTAAAAATGCTGCGAGCAATTCTCCAACTGCATATTTTGTGCCTCGATATGCTGTTGGTGTGTTAAAAACGTTGCGCTTTTATTGACAACAACAGAAAAAAAGAACATTGTTTCGGTGGACACACTCCTTTAGGACTCATTCACACCTAATGCGTCTTTCCTTTAAAAAACGCAGGACACTCAGGATTGGGTTTTAAAAAAAGCACAGTGTAGCCCAAGGTCTATGTGACGCAATATTGAACGTGATGTAATAACAACAATTAGAAATAGGGGGAAAAAGTGTTGTGATAAGCACTTCAAGATACATTATGTTACTCAGGATCTCTTGATAAAGCCACAAACAGCGCTGCCTCTGCCATGATATAATGGTAAATAAAACATTTTCATGCCAACTTTATACTATAAACAGAAGCTTGCAGCCATTGCTCTGCCTTCGGGCTCTTCTGATTGGTCCAGTGCTTTTGGGCCTGATGAGCTTTGCTGCGTGTGAAAGTTGAAGGTCTTAAAGTGTGTAGTTAAAAAGGTTGAAACCGTAACTTTGGGACAGTGTGGGCAGATCAAAGATGAAACCAAAACAATGGAAATGTACTGCAGTCTTTTCTAAATGTATAAACAAAAGAGTATGAATCATTGTTTAAGAAAGGAGAGGAACGAATTACAACGTTTAGCACAAACAAATAAAAAATGGAGTCAAATAAAATAAACTAACAAAACAAAACTACCTTTGAAGCTACTTCTACACTAACAAATAAAAAAAATTGTAAAATAAAACCCAAGATTGTCAGCCTTTCCGACACTTTAATCTGAACTAATTACACTAAAGAAGCCAAAGGACAAAGTTGGAAATAAACTAATCTTGCAAAGCACACATATAATCTAATTCAATAGCAAAACAAACAGAAACATACCATCAGATAACAAGATAAAAAGTATCACAAGAGTCTCAATAAAGTAGCCCAAAACACCTGCTTTGCCTTAAACCGGGCGTATAAGACTGAAATTCTAACACAGACATCAGCTAAATCTGTCACACAGATTCCAGTACACATTTGTACACAGTAACAGTCATGAACACATGTATAAATCAACTCAATCAAACACTAAATACATTTGGCATCTGAAAACTAACAAAAAAAAACGACTGCTGACCGGACTTTGTGATGTCAGAATGATGATTGACAGGAAGACCAACTAAAGCAGTGTTTCTCAACCTCCTGGAGGACCACCAGTTTTCCATATTTACCAGGCACACCAGATTCAGATCATCAGCTTCTTAGCAGAGATTGAAAGACCTGTAATAGCTGTAACAGACAAAGGAGGCATCCAAAATATGCAGTGTTGGTGGTCCACCAGGAACATGGTTCAGAAACACTGAACTAAAGCATAAGGGGCAGATCACAATGAACACACTTTTTTTGTTGAGAGGAAACTTTTTTAAATGATTTGCAAATGGACACGAGTGTTTTGCTCACTGCTTATGCGCCTTGCGCATCTTGCGTTTTAATCGCCTGCTGTGTCTCGCGTTTGTGCTGTTGCGCACTGTGCGCTTACAGTTGAAAAAAGTCAACTCTAAGTAGAAAAGCACATTACGTCAGTCACATATTTTTCATTCTCCAATCAAATGAAAGCAGAGGCGGGGTTTCCGTTGAGGTGACAGCAGTGTTTGTGTTGACAAGATGACTATGGAGACTTTTGTAGATATAGGAGAGACTTGTGGTTGCTGTTCTGAGTTATCCAGAGCTGTATGACTCACAAATCTTTAAGTTCACAATATTATTAAATATTAAAATTTGACCAATATCAACATCAACACTCTCGCAGAATACCCAGCTGATTCAGTCGTTGCCTAGTGACATAGAAAGTGCACCACACTTCTTTTTTCTTATCAACAAAAAAGACGTGTTTTTGGAACATACAAGCCCGTTCGGTGTGATCAGCCCCTAAGGGTTTATAACTGATGAGTGACAGGAAGATCAACTACAGGATAAGTCTTTATAATCTTAAAGTTTAACAAGTTTGACATTTAAATGTATGTTTTTTTTTAGTAGTATTATTATATTTCAGAAGTTATTACGAAGCCTGCTGGATTGTGTTTTTTAATATTGTTTTTGAGTGATATTTTTGTTTGTATGTGTTTGTTGTATCATGAGGCTACTGCTCTAATTTTGTCCCTGGCGGGATTATTAAAGTACTCTCACACAAAAGAGTAGAGAGAGACATAAAAAAACTCAATCTATTCGCAAAACACACATGGAATAAAAGAGTTGACTTATACAGTAGTGATTTGTGTCACAGCAGCGCTGTTTTTGGTTGTTTTTCTTTCGGTCGTTGAAATAAAAGCAGATTATTTATGATAATAATCAACTCATTTATTGATCACAAAAATCTGTGAGACGATGATTTGATTAGATTTTTGGTGTTGTGTTTTTGAAGACCATCATGAGAAACCTGTATCACCCTCTTAAGGGTTTTTTAGTATCTTTTTTAGTAGCTTTTTTTTATTGACAAATAATGTTAGGGAACTTTTTATTTTAAATTATGCGTAGATACTTGGAGTGCATGAATAGTTAATAAAAATAAAAAAATAAAAAATCAAACATGATTTTGGCATCAGATATGTTTATAGCATGTAATATACACACATTTTGATTTGTTCCCCAAAAGCGCCACTTTCTCTATAGCAGACATGATTTTTTCCCCCTGGTCAAACACTAATCCTCTTCCACATGGCTCAGTCCTCATTGATTTGTCATTAGCAGTGTACAAGTGAGTCTGTGTATGTGCAGCCAAGCTTAGAGCGGCTTAGAGAAGCTCAGAAAAACAGGAGGCCTGTGGCGTTTCTTTGTAACGTGAGATTATTTTCTTGCTTTTATATGTGATTCTTGTTGTGTGTGTGTGTGTGTGTGTGTGTTTTACAGAACAGTAATGGTGGAGGGAGTTTAAGCGATTACTCGTCTTCTGTGCCCTCCACTCCCAGTACCAGTCAGAAGGAATTGCGTATTGATGTCCCACAAACTGCCAACACACCTACACCCGTCCGCAAACAGTCCAAACGACGCTCCAACCTCTTCACGGTCAGTCTGCTCTCACGTTAGATCGAAAGATTTGCGCTTATTGATTAGTCTTTAAACTTAACCATAATATATATCAGATATATAATATTAATTGTGTGTGTGTCTGTATAATAGAAAGTTTTTTTTTAAAATAAATTTTACCAAAAGTTGCCCACCAAAGTAGATTTTTTTTAATAAAGATGCATTTGGAAAAATAGTAACATTATTAGTCGTAATGTTATTGCTGCTATTTCAAAACCCTTTTTGTTTTAACCTTTTTGTGTGGTGGGAATGTTTTCATCCCATCTGGGATGATTTTGAGTCTTAAATTGGCCATAACTTTTTCTTTGTTTCTTCTAGCAGAATTATTTTTGGTGACACATGTTATTTTGACACATATTTTGAGAAAATGCTTTGATTTTTATTTTATTTTTTTAAGGACTCAACAATACTCTCTGGGCAAATTTACTACCCTTTTTTTGTTAGGGATGAAAAAATCCACTAAATTAAACTTCTGTAAAAATGCTTCAGATCAATATTTTTTTTATTATTTTTTTGCATAAATCTGTAAATCAACCTCAGTCCTGATCAAAACTACTAAATTAATTTGAAAATTACAGGATTTTAACTGTTTAATTGCCAAATTCATGAATGATGTCACTGATTTGGTAAGAAAAAGAAACACAGATGACATATTTTCAATATAGTAAGTAATTGTGGACTGGATTTTTTTTTTAACCTTTTAACAAAGTCTTGGATGTGTATTTCCTTTGATGCATTGTTTTAATTGATTTAAATTTGTTCTCCCTAATTTACTGTTGGTGGCTGTTTTTGCTCCATTGACTTCCATTATAACCACATTTTTTTATTACAAAATCATGACACCATATAATCATTCACTTTTGATTGTTGGTGGTTTTCCGTGTTGGGAAGAGGTACACTTTGTAATTTTGTATTCTTTATCATCAGTTGGCACCATTAACCCTTTAGAAAAACTTAGTTCACATCTTACTTGATGTGTCTGGGAAAATCAAATACACATCTCAGCTCTCAGAACTACATAGAGTATATAAAAACAAATACTTTCTATTTATGCACAATCAAATGTAGTTATAAGGGAGGACAATGGGGCAAAAACAGCCACCGACAGTAAATTAGGGAGAAAAATTAAAATCTAAAAACGCATCAAAGCCAATGATGTTACTAATCGTTCACATGTCCAAGACTGTGATAAAAAGAAAAAATTCAGTTCACAAGGACTTTGAATATTGAAAATATTTCATTTTGTGTTATTTTTCATCAAATCAGTGACATCCTTTGTGAATTAATTTGGCAATTAAGGATATAAAATCCTATAATTGTCTAAACCAGGGGTCACCAATCCTGGTCCTGGAGGGCCGGTGTCCCTCCAGGGTTTAGCTCCAACTTGCCTCAACACACCTGCCTGGATGTTTGAAGTATACCAAGTAAGAGCTTGATTAGCTTGTTCAGGTGTGTTTGATTAGGGTTGGAGGTCAAATCTGTAGGACACCGGCCCTCCAGGAACAAGTTTGGTGACCACTGGTCTAAACGATTTAGTAGTTTTGATCAGGACTAAGGTTGATTAACAGATTTATGAAAAAAATTGACAAAAATATTTATCTGGTTATTTTACAGCAGTTTAATTTGATGAATTGTTTTCATCCTGAACTTAACAAAAGGGTAGTAAATTTGATCAGTTCACAAGGGTTAAATACTTTATTTCTGATTTATTTTTTGTGATGATTTTAACCACTATTTCTCCATTTCTCATGTGTATTTATGTATAAAATGTGTTTTTTAAATGATTTTATTCATATACTTACAGCTGGATTCAAATATATTAGCCCTCCTGTGAATTTGTCTTTTTCTTTTTCAAATATTTCCCAAATGATGTTGAACAGAGCAAGGAGCTTTTTTATTCTGGAGAAATTATCATGTTTTATTTTGGCAAGAATAAAATCAGTTCATATAATTATATATATATATATATATATATATATATATATATATATATATATATATATATATATATATATATAATTTTATTTTATTTTTTTAGAGTCAATATTTTTAGCCCTCTTAAGCATTGTTTTTTTATTGTCTACAGAACAAACCATCATTATTCAATGATTTGCCTAATTACCCTGACTTGCCTGATTAACCTAATTAATCCTTTAAATTGCACTTTAAGCTGAATACTAGTACCTTGAAAAATATCTAGTAAAATATTATGTGCTGTCATCATGACAAAGATAAAATAAATCAGTTATTAGAAATTAGCTATTATAACTATTATGTTTAGAAATATGTTGAAATAAACATATTTATGTTAAACAGAAATGGGGAAAAATATACAGGGGGGCTAATAATTGAGGAGGGCTAATAATTTTGACTTCAACTATATATACACTACCCTTCAAATGTTTTAAATTAAATGTATTTTTTAAATAGACAGATTGTGTAGAAAAGTGAAAGAACAATCATATTATGTTTTTTATTTTGTTTGTTTTAAACATTCTATTACAAAGATTTATTTTATGAATACTGTAATTGTACAATTTTAATATCAGCATTAAATAATACTGAAAAGAACAGTTTGCACAAAAATAAATTGTTATTAAGTTAAGCTGCACTATTTTTTATACTAAAATAAAAAATGTTTCTTCAGCTCCAAATCAGCATATGCAATTGACTAAAGAGTCATTTGACAGTGTAAACTGGACTCATAGCTACAAAAAAAAAAAAAAAAAAAAAAAAAGAGCGCACAATCACTGTATTAAATCACTTTTTAAAATATTATTTTACAGACCTCAAACCTTTAAATGCTCGCCTGATTTTAATAATATAAATGTTATACAAGGGTTAGTCATTCACCAATAAATATATTTGTCATTTATTTATTTTATTTATTTAAATTTTTTTTGTTAAAAAATGTTGAACTGAATGATCATTAAACTTTCTAAACGTAGTAGTTCACATTAATGGTAGTGCACATCCATCACATGTTTTCCTTTCAAGAAGTTGTGGGTGTGGGGTCACGTCAGGGTCAAGTTGACCCCTCCCATACCCCCTTGACTTTTGAAGTCGTGTGAGAGCCCCGCACTCCAAACTGAATCCAGGCTGAAGTCGGGCTCAATTAACAGCCAGCTCGCCTTTGACTAAAATCATGTCTTCTCCCCCACAGTCTCGCAAGGGAAGCGAACCAGACAGGGAGAAGAAAGGGATGGATGGCCGCGCAGACAGCATTGGAAGTGGCCGCGCTATCCCAATTAAACAGGTAGGGTCTGGCCGGCCGTCTGGGCTGGTATAATTGGAGTCCAACAGCGGTCTATTGTGGACGAACAAGCCTCAGATCAGCACTCGGACGCGTTTGATGCCATCGTCTTGATTAACAGTGAAAGCACGCACTTGACATCAATTAGATCCAGGCTCTCCCGTGTGCAGAAATGAGATCATTAGGATAAGAAGTGGGAAGGGATTTTTTTTCTCCCCCACAAGCTAAAACCCCTTCCACATTTCCATCTCCCACCTTCTTTTTCCACCGTCAAAAGTGGGCTAGAAGAAAGCTAAGAGGACCCTAATGAAGTGCAGTCTACCAATCTGCATACGGGTCCATCTTTCCCCCCCAGAAAGCCTTGAATTAGTGCTGTGCTTCGAAGGGGAAGGGGGGGGGGGGTGATAAGCAGAATGTGATGTGAAGAAGACCCCCTCCATTGCACCATGGGAGAGATTGTTTGACTTGGCCTTAATTTGTCACAAACAAGAGCGTGTAGCGAGAGAGTAAAGGAGAGCGTGTGGCGGGGGGGCGAGATCATCCTCTGCGCATCTCAGCTGGAGTGAAAGAATCAGGTAATTAGCGGCACTAATCGTGCCCTCTCATGTCAGCGCCGTGGCCTTGTTTGTAATTTTCTAATGAACAAATTGCATCTCTGATTAAAGCTGCCTTTAAGTGAGATCTGTGTTTATTAGCAAGCCGCAGTGGAGCAGCTCTTCCGTCGTCCAGAGCGCTGTACAGTTGCCGTTTAAAAGCCAAGCTGCTGATCTTTTAGCTGTGTTTGAATATTGCAGAGAGACTCCATTTGAGGCAAAGACATTTACAAAAGACCTCGAGACAACGAAATGGTGCTGTAATCGGTTGCTGCTGATGTGGGACCGTCCCACTAGCAAAATTTAAGCTTTCTGCGGAAAACGCATGATTCTTGGGCCCAATTTTGATTGCGAAGCATAACTCAATGAACATATGAATTGAGCAACACAAGCTACGTCTCTCATTAAGCAGATAAAAAGAAATTAAATCTTAATTTTTTTTAATACTAACAGTATTCTAAAAACAAAGGTTTTGTTCCATGGAAATCATTCCATCTGCAGTAAATTAGTGGTGTAACCGATCACAATTCGGATCATGTTATGGTTTTTTAGTCACGGATTGGACCTCTAGGCGACGACCTATATTGCCTGTTGGACAGGCCGGCACTGCTGAAACCATATATTGTGCACGCTTAGTATGTTTTAATAAAAAGTAATGTTTTTCTTCCAGCAAATACTCATTAATTTAATTAGTAGTTGCTGTATAATGTTTCTTTTGTTCGAAAAGATTATTTTTCTTAAAAATGAATGCATTTATTTCGAGTTAGTCTAGAATTTTTGGGGGTTAATTCGAGGTAATTCATAGAGTGTGGAAAATATGCTTGACAATATTCACTTTAGAATTAAATGTACTTTTTATTTAAAAAACCATACGAAACTAACAGAAACACAAATAGTACATTTAAAGACACATACTATGTGTTTTAAACTAATTTAGTTTATTTTTTTTTACATTTTAAATGGTCAATGAATCGACAAAACACTCTTAAGCGAAGGCTGTTTCCCAGAAATCCTTAAATTGAGTTTTCCTTCTCTTTTGAGATGAGAAAAAGAAGCTAAATCTGTGACACAATCATGCCTGATTGACAGGATAATTGAAATTGAGCAGATGTACTTTGTCTGTTTTACCTACATGGAAAATAACCCAGAAGCATTAGCAAGATGGCTGCTTAACGAATCGCCTTAAAAGGACTGTGGATGTGCTGCTTTTCGAGGCACACAAGTGAGTGCTAATGCTGCCAGCAGTGATCTCTCACCTCCTGCGGCTCTATTTGCATAAATCCTGTTAAAGTCAGTGGCGGTTAATGAAGAAGAAATGAGGCTGGCCGACTGCAGCGGTGCTGAGAGCAGGGCGCAGCACTAGTGGCAGATGGGAAGGCTGAGCCGCGGCAGGCAGCTGTGCTGAGGAGAGAACAGCTCAAGCTTTAACTATCATCTCACTCTGTTCAGACTGAGCTCTTTCTTTTTCGTGCGCCATGCTAAGAGTGATGAAGACAATAACTGCTTGTTGAACAACATAAAGAGCATGTCATTTCTTTACATTTTTGTTACGATTTGAATAGGAACTTTAAAGCCCCTTTTTTTAGTTTGTAAACCCTGATTTTGTGGGTGGGGGTTGGGTACAGTCAAAAAGATTTTCATCAAATCAAATCACTTTTATTGTCACATCATCAGCAGCACGTGTGCTATGATGAGTGAAAAGCTTAGGTGCTGGCTCCAGACAGTACAAAATACAGAGTGCAAATACAACAACAGTGCAAAATACAGACAGTGCAAATACAACAACAGTGCAAAATACAGACAGTGCAAATACAACAACAGTGCAAAATACAGACAGTGCAAATACAGCGACAGTGCAAAATACAACAGCATACTCCAAAAAAAATAAATAAATAAATACAAACAGGACAATGTAAGATTGACAGCGACCCTGATTTCTTTCTTATAACATTATTACGTTTTGTTAGTTTGTTTTAATGTCTGGTCAAATATGTATGAGTTAGGCATGGGACTATAGCAGTTTTCAAGGTTTTCTGTGGTTTGAAAAAGTCAAGGTTTTAAAACCTCCAAAACTTTGTTGCAACTATTTATTTTAAGGCAACAGTATCTCCAGCTGAAAAGATACTGTTCCAAAATATTTTAAATGTTTCTTAAAATAAAATTATTTAAGGTCAATGGGGAAAAATTTTGTATTTTACCCAGACATTTAAGAACAACATATTTTAGAGCAGTGATCACAATACCGTGCACTGTTATATTTTTATCCAAGGTTATCATACTGTCAGAATCTTATCACTGTTTATTACTCTAAAAGTTATTGGCTAAAAAGTTAGCGGTATATGAGAAATCATGAAAATCATTCCCCAATTTCTGATTAGGGGAGCAAGAAAAACCTTCATATCAGGTTTATTTAATTCAGGTACATTTAACCGCACCTGTATTTGTAGCAGGTATGTGTCAATTCAACACGATCTCACAGCAATTCTGAATCTTATTCATACAATTTAGTATGATTTGCTTAATCCACCAATGACAGTTGGATTTAGCGGTGAGGTTGGGCGCCGCCCCTCCTTTTTAAAATCGAACATTTTCCTACGACTGAACTTGTACAAATTTGTATGAATTAGCCACTAAACTGGCAAAACGTAAAATAGTTAAGTTTCCTCGTGAGACCAGGGCTGGTTAATTTCATATTGGTACCTACATTTGGTTGATTTGGGATTTTTATTGTATTTATTTATGTTTATATTGTGTGTAACCAGCTTTGTACTGGTTTGCACTGGCCGCCTGCAGTTTTCTTTTTATTTGGCCTCCAGCTAGTGCTGTAAAATGTTAGCATGTAAAACCTAATAAGGTGTGAATATTGCAATGTATTTTGAAAATGTAGTATTTAATACTACATCATTGTTATTTTTATTTCATAATTTATTGTTATTATTACGCTTGTGTCCGTATAAACTTTAATCAAGTTTGGATGTGGTGAATAAATTTTATTAATACATTTTATATCTTTTATAAAAACTAAAAACGAGCAATGATGAACAAAACGAGCAGAACAAATTGGGCAAACATATTAGGTTGCAAATTCTATATTTAGAATTTCTATTTATTAAATTTTTATAAATATTTTAGTTTTGAGCATTTTTTTTTTACTATTATTATCATCCTTTTACACTTTTTTTATCCAAATGTCTGTGATCGATTAACCATTGGAAAATTGTCTCTCGTTTACCCGTTTCGTAGGCTACTGCTGGTTCTGTGTGTGCGACAACTGTCCACACTCCCTTTTTGGCTTTCTATTTCAAAAGTTGTTGTTAATTGTTTGCGTTTTTACATTTAACCTTACATGTACATTTTACCTTTTTATTTAAACCTATTTCCATCGGCTTCGCAGCTGATTTGCATGCACACAGCCGTGAGAACGAGAGAAACATTAAATAATTCATTCTTTAGTAAACGACTCAGAAACATTTACTATTTACTAGGGGATGTATATACAAAATAATCTGTACACCATTTGAAATGGTTCAACAACTAATTTGCTTTATTTAAATAACCTAAAATGTGTCTCTTAATTTGGCCACCACTGCAAGTATATTTCACACCTGTGGGAAGCACTGATTATTATTATGATTATTATTTATCGGCAACAATTCTCATTACAAACTTGCATCAATGTTTGATTCATGTAGCAATTTTCATTTGAATGTTTTAAATGATTCAAAAAACAATAACACTTGATTTGGGTTTGCTTTGGATTGAGATTCTGAAAACAATGTGCATTGAATTATTTATCTATGAAATTACATTACAATCTTTTCTAAACCATGTCTAATTCATAGAAATTGTGGAAATTACAATTTTATTTATTTATTTATTTATATATATATTTTTGCTGAGAGCGGTTTTACCCTTATGAACTATACAATAAGGATAAAAAGATGCTCACAACTTCTCTTTCACAACAGTACAGTAAATGCAATTGAGAGCCTGCAGTATAGTGTGCCATTAGCCAATAAAGAGAGTGTGGTACGGAGCCTGGCGCAGAGCCATATCTCTGAAGCATCTCAGCCTCTTGACACTGCAGGTACATAAATGAGGGATTAATTTCCCTGGTGTCAGACAGAGCCTGCCCCACACTTACTCGCGCACGCACACACACACACACACACACACACACACACACACACACACACACACACACACACACACACACGCTGTCATTGCTGAGCAGTGGCCCCATTGGTGCCCATGTTCTTCATCTCATAAGGAGATCAATCAGAGAACAGTAGCCTCTGCAGTGCTCAGTGATTCCAGTTTCCCTTGCTGTCCTCTTGCTCACTTGCTAGTGCTCTAGCTTCAGACTGAGCCTTTTCCTCATTTCCACACTGAGCGGTAGTGTTTAATACA